TCATAAAAATCCCCATGAGTATGAAAGAGATAGATTCATCTAGTGCAAATTTTATAGGATGATATGAGAGAGAGAATATCACTGTGACTGAACGAGTAAGATGCCTTTTTACCTTGGTGGGCTGGGGTTGAGATCAACGGTGGAGGTCAATAGGGCTCTTTAGGGGAAATGGATCTGGAGATTTATGAATGAAGATAGTAGTATTTGATGGATAGTAATTGAGACGAAGCATGGTACTGAGGAAAGAGGTTGGTTCACTAGGCTGACATCTAGACCTCATGATAAAAGATAATGGAAAAAGTATGCGTAGGAAGAAGACAGTTTCAAGTTGCATTAATTGGAGGATTCATATGGGTAATAGGGTCAGGCTATGGCATGATAATTGAATGGAGGGGGGCCCTCTCAAAGCTCAGTTTCCTCATATATAATTGCTCGTAACAAAGATGCCTTGATACAGGATGCCTACACTAACATTACAAGGTTTGGGGAATGATCTGTGGAGATTATGAGAAACCTTAATTACTGGGAAGTCAGGGAATATGAGACATTACTCCTTGCCCTTATGAGAGTCAGGATTGATGGTGTAGAGACTGACCTCTTTGGAGTCTTACTGCTAATGGATCTTTCTTTAAGTTCTTTCTACGACCATCTGACTAATAGAGAGATTATGGGAAGAGGCTTTCTGTACAAACAAATTTGGACAGTTGATGCATTGTCTAAAGTTGCTTTTTCTTCGCTTGGGAGGTTGTTAGAGGTTGCATTTTTACCGTAGACAAGCTGATCAGAAGCGGCAGGGTTTTGGTGAATGGTTGTTATATGTGCAGAAGGGATGCAGAGTCATTTAACCATAAGTTATTATGGTGCCCCAATATAGAATTTGGACCTTGCTTATGACCTATTAGGTATTAATTGGTTGATGGCTGGTTTAATGAGGAAGGAAATTTAAGGATGGGGAGGGATCAGAGGTGAGACAGGACATGTGAGCCTTATTCCCCTTGCTACTTTTTAGCTGATAGGCAAAGAAAGGAACAAGAGAATTTTTTAGGGTGCATATGTCAACTTTGATAAGATTAAGAATAGTTGGTTTCAGATCCTAAATCTTTTATTAAGGGTCATCCTCTTTATTCTTTTACCTTATTGATATTTTGATTTATATGTAAATATTTTTGTTCATGAGTTTGCATTCCCTTGGTGCATGTGAATGAATGCACATATTTTTTATATTTAAAAAAAGATTAAAATAACGCAAAATAAAGAAACAACTTATTCTTGCCTATATGTTTTTAATATTTTTGTGTTATGAATTAAGTCCTTTCGCTGAACTTTATCAATATTCCTCCAACAAGAGGGGGAAGATCCTTGTTAATGGGAGCCCTTTGTGTATGAGGGCAGTAGAGACACCAGATCATCTTCTCTTGCAACACACCTTTTCTTACCCCCTATGATTCATTATTTTTGAGTTTCTAGGGTTGAGTTGGGTGTGACCAGGTTTTATGGCAAAGAATTTTGTGCTAGGAATGGCATCTGGAGAAATAAGGTCGAGAAAAAGAGTAACTTCTCTTATCCTCCTACCTACCATGTGGGCTATTTGAAAGGAAAGAGATAGAAGAGCTTTTGAGCGATCAAAATTTTCTTTTAGTAGAGTTAGAAGTATTGGGTTCCATAATCTGGTTTTCTTGTTTAATGATTATCCTCATTTTGGTGGAGAATTTGGTGCATTTTATTGATATATTAATAAATTTGTAAGTTTGTGTACACTGATGACACCCCCTTGGGCATTGGTGTTCACATAACGTGGATCTTTTTTCTCTTAAAGAAAAAAGATTTGTACACCAAGACGATGTGAAAAGGGGGAGTCATAAAGCAAGTGCTTTGAGGACTCTGGTGCCCATTTACACATATTTTCCCTCTCTTGTGACGATTGTCAACAATAAGGATCTTCCCTCTTGCACCTTCTCAAGTCTTTTTTTCGGAAAAGAAAAAAAAGGCAATTTTGAGTAATGCATCCATCTTCAATTTTTGTTTCCAATACTTTTTCGGGTGGGGTGGGATCCGGGAGCTATGGCCATATGAGGTAGGCAAGAGCATATAAGGGAAATGCTAAATCCAGTTTTACCCATACAAATGGTTTCACGGTTTGACTATTAAGTTATTTAGGTAGCATTTCTTTGTTCTCTTTAGTAAGCTATCAGTTAAAATCTCGATATCAAATAACCAAGTTGTATTTGAAATTTAATTCCTCAAGTAAAATATAGATTGTTTTCATGTGTTTGCTAGTTGTGTTACTTAGCATATACAATACATAACCATGGTAGACGCCTTGCTATATGTGACTTTTTTTTTCCATGTATTGTTTGCTATTGAAGGTAGAGGGTTTTGCTTCAGAATTCAAAAATTTGCATGAGAAGCTGGAAGTTACTCCTGCACCTACATCATATGAGAAGCTCATTACATACAGTTGTGTTTTACTTAAGGTATGAATCAGTGTTCTTAAGCTATAAGAAGTCAGTAAAAGGATGATTAAGTCAAGTTTTTCCAGATTGATTGATGATTATACATTTAATCACAGGTCCATGTCGCTCTTGATATAATTGACCAAATGTGTGAAGCAGGATTGACGTTGTCAATAGACATGCTACACTCCATATTGCATGCCAGTGAGCAGAGTTATGATTTTAATCTGGTATGTGACTGATCCTTATACTTTCTTAATTGATATCACTTGATCTTTGGACAAATACTTATTTTCAAGAATGGTTGTGTGTGTATTTTATTGAATATCAGAGCCCTATATATACAGGTTTTCTAGAATAGAAAAGAAAATAAACAATTAACTACATTAATTATATAGGATATATTTTACCCTAATGCATTTTGACTTAATTATATACTCTCTTTAACACTCTTCATCAAATTAGGGAATAGATATTTGTCGATTTCTATCTTGCCAATGAAAGTTTGGAATATTGGATTGCTTAAGTCAACACATCTGCAAGTTATAAACTGATCGACATGTATATGGAACATATTAAAACACTATCTAGTTTTTCTTTGATGAAGTGTTTATTAATCTCAATATATTTTATATAAAGTTGCACTGGGTTATGAGTAATGTTTATGGCTTATTTATTGTTACAATATAAGCACATGAGATTGTCCTAATTAATTTTCATATCTTCTAAATTCTATTTATCTATAGTAATTCACGTACTTCTTGATCTATTGCTCAAAATTCTGATTGTATATTCGACCTTGCAATTATATTTTACTTCTTACTCTTCTAAGTAAATAGGTTATCCTCAAGGAAGGTAAAATAACCGGTGGTAGATCAATTGTCGACCATTGACCTTGCGTAGTCTGTATCAACATAGTCTTCTAGGAGCAAAGAACCTGAGAACATTGGAAGGAAGCTTTTCCTTCCAAAAGGTTCAAGATAAATTCATGATCTTTTGTTAAGGATCCTATTCTTTTTGGTTCATGATCGCTATATACTTCTTTTAGATCAGATAGATTTTGAATTGTAAAGCTTCTTTAATCTGCTGTACATGGGTGGCACCCACTTGATGCCTTGCCTACAATATACTTCTTTTTCTATAAGAATAATTATTCTTATCTGGTAAGAAGAAGTCACCTCCTTGACTGAGCAATCCATAACCTATTTGCTTGGTTGTGTAATAAAATCTCTTACTTTGCTTGTTCATGTGATCATTCATGTGAACCAAGTATTTAGGTCAAGTGGTTAGATACCTAGATGCTTGACTGCTTTTTGCCACCAGATATGTTTCCTGAATTTGAATAAGATAACATGTGTTTAGATAGTCAAAGAACAGTTAAGCTTAGACTTATAAATGTTTAATCATTAGTTTTCTCATTCTCTTTCATGACGAAGCAACTGGAGGCAAATTGTTGATTCAATATGCAAGGCAGATATATGCTATCATTCCTGTACTCATTCTTGTCCGAAATTCCCTAGTTTGTGTTTTACTAGATTTGTTCTCCTTATTGCTGTCTGTTTGATGTTAAGGTTCGACAAATTCGTTCAATTATTTCCCAACATGACTTGAAGCCAACTAGTGAGACCTTCAGGAGTATGATAAGCTTGAGTGTGAAAATGAAAGATGTAAGTTCCTATCTAGTCCCTATTGTTCTCTCTCTGCAGTCCCATTTTTATTCATGTGTGGCCATATGCATACATGGTTTCATGTGGTCATTTCCTCTGCTGCTTTCTTCTTGTTTGTGATCGACTGATGAACCACAATTTCTTTTTCTCATTAATGCAGTTTGAAGGTGCATATTCTATGCTTTGTGATATGAAGGAAATGAATTTGACACCCACAGCTTGCATGTACAATGCTATAATGGCAGGATATTTTCGAGAGGTACCATTTTCTCTTCATCAGCTTCTCTTGCTGTGTGTGATTTGGATTATTTGTCTCTGGATATCGTTTCTCTATTTAACAGTTAACACCAAACATTCAACTCAGCTCCTTTCTTTTTGATGACCGTCTTGGATAATTTCATTAGAACTGTTCAAGACGATCTCTTGTTTGTATTATTGTACAAGATATGCTGCTATTTCATGAAACTGGTTAGTTGTCAACTAAAGCCAGAATAATGTCCTGATCAAATCTGCACTCTTTAGTATGACAAAATTCAAAATTCTGAACAATACTAGAGTGTCCCATGTTATCTTCTCAATTTTATTTGACTGATTCTAGTGCTGTATGGTGCACAGAAAAACATAAAATCTGGATTAATGGTTCTCAAACAAATGGAACTTGAAGATATAAAGCCAGATTCTCAAACCTTCAGCTATCTAATAAACAACTGTGACCGTGAAGAGGATGTTGTTAAGGTATGTTTTTATTTTGGTCATGATTTCATGTCTTTTCTGCTGCCTGCAAACCACTGTGTGGCTGCATCCTTCTCTTTCTGACTTTTAATATAATACAATATTGCTGTATCTGAAATATGTGGAAGCATAAACTTCCAGATAACAAAAAGATATAACAATTCTTTTATTTCTGGCAGTACTATGAAGAACTGAAGCATTCTGGACTCTCCCTCACTAAGCAAGTTTTCATGTCACTTATTAATGGATATGCAGCTTGTGGACAGTTCGAGAAGGCAAAGGAGGTATTTATGCTTGCAAGATATCTCTTCGGCTAGATTACTATTTTTTTGAAAATAAAGTGTGAATTATATTCACAAGCACTAAGGAAATGCAACCCATATACAAATGCTAAAGCAATTTCTGTATACTTCCCAACAAGAAGTTTTACTATATCCCAATTATTAACTGGTATCTGGTAGAGGAAATTATTTTAGGTTTTTTGTTTTGCTCTCTACTTGAGAATCATGTTGACTTGCTACAATGAGATTGTGCTTTCAATTGTTTTCTAGACGGCAAAGATTGGATCAATATTTTTGGAAACTTTGCTGTTGGAATCATTGGTGTTTAAGCCAATTGCATAAAAATTTTATATGCTTAAATTTTGGCATCCTCTTGATTGGTTTCTCTAGGAAAAGAAGGTTCTTTACTCGTCATACTAATGAAACAAAATACATAAGTGGTTCCTTAAGAATTTCATTTTGGCTTACTTGTGATATAGGTAATCTTGGACAAAGGGATACCTGTTAAGAGCTTAAACGAAATCAAAAGTGTCCTTGTCTCAGCTCTTGCAGCAAATGGGCAAATGTCTGGTGCCCTTAATATATATGAAGAAATCAAGCAAGCAGGATTCACTCCGGAGCCTAAAGCTATCATATATCTGATTGTAAGTTTTTAATTATAGGACCCTGGTTTTGCATTTAACATCATCTAAAGATAATTTATTTTCTGTCCTTAGGAGAACCTTCAATCTGAGGGGCAGTTGGGTAGATTGCTTCAGCTACTGGAGGAACTGAATGATCCAGATTATTGGATTGATGGTTGCTGCAGAGTTATCTTATATTGCATCCGACATAAGCATTTGAGGTCAATTAATACAATATTTCTTGTTTTTGTCAGAGAATCCATTTTTTTTCTTCTGTTAGTTAATTTCATTCTTTCTTTGATCTAGTTCTGCAATTGATTTGCTGAGGAAACTCAATGAGAAACGCTGTGATAACGAGTTGGCCATGGAAGTTCTTTTTGATGAGGTTTGTTCTTGTTCTCACTTTCTTGGAATATGGGCATTTTGGTTAAAATCATAACATTGAGATCCTCAAACCTGGTTGGTCGGATTAATTCGCTTTGAATATGTAAGGACAATGAAAGATTTTGATCAATCAAACTTTCTGCTTTTCTATCTTTTATGATTTATATAATCAAAGGATGAACTGATAATAGGCTTGTGTGATCTTCTTTTTATCTAGTTGAACTGACTTGCATGAACTTTGAATGTCTAGGTATTTTCCCTAGTTGCAGAGACAGAGCCTGTCGATTTGGAGATTGGCCTAGACTTGCTTCGATTCGTGAAAGATGATCTTGGCCTTTCCCCTTCACGAAAGTGTCTTGATTTTCTTCTCAACGCATGTGTCAATGCCAAGGATTTGCAGAACTCTCTTTTCATTTGGAAAGAATATAAGAGAGCCCACTTGCCTTACAACATTCTTAGTTTTTTAAGGTAGGCAATGGCCTGACAATATGTGTCTATATTGCCTATATTAGTAATAGATTTCATTTATCTGGTGGTGGTTGTTGGCCATCTGCAGGATGTATCAGGCACTTCTCGCTTCAGGTGACCATAAATCAGCAAAGATTTTGCTATCAAAAATTCCTAGAGATGATCCTCATGTGCGGTCCATTGTCGGTGCTTGTAAAGCTACTTACAAAAGAGAAAAGAAGATTGAGGAACAAAAATTAGATAGAACATTTATTTGCAACAAAGAATGAAGCCAGATTAAAATGGAATTTACTGAGGGCATAGGCAGAAATGCATGTATCTTGATATTCAATTCATTTGTAAGTTTAGAATGATGATATGTTTCTTAAAAAAAATAAAAAGTGTGGAATATGTATTAATATAGGCATACGGTCATAGATGCTCTCCCATATATAAAAATGTATAATTTAATTAAGTTGCCTAACAAAGTTTTCTCAACTCTCTGGATGCCTAAGAAGGAAAAATCAAGGGTCTAAAATCACCTATTCTTGAATAGGTGAAAATCATCTAATATTGTAAAAGAACGAATACTGTGATGTTCCATAAGTCCGTGCATGCATACGTACATCCAAACATACGAGAGAGAGGCAGTCTTAGGTGAATTTACAATATATATAATTAAATTTCATCTATATGACAGAACAAAACCGAGTACTGCTCAAAAGGAATTAGCAACTAGAATGGCCTGCCTGCATCTTGCCTTGGCCTGTTCAAGTCTCTGATTCAAGGTCTCTTCTTTAACTGCAGCTTTAACCATGGCCAAATCCATCTCCATCAACCTCAAAACTCTAAACAGCTCTGTGACCATCCTCTCCTCTACGTTCCCTTCATCTCTCAGCACTTCAGCCTCCTCCCTTGCCCTCTCTGCCACTATTTCCCCTGCTTTCGCCAACAGCTCTGTGGACCCAAACTCCTTTCCCATCAACTCCTCAAGTTTCTCCAAGAAATCCATTATCACATACCCTTTTGGCTTCTCAAAGTTTATCGGCTTGGTTCTCCTCCAACCAACCTCGAAATTTGGTGGGTCAGGCTTTGCAAGCTCTGTCGATTTTCTCTTCCTGATAATCTCGGACCTTCGTCGTTTTTCAATAGGGAAATTCTCTGCACTGGTTGTGGTGCTGGTTTCAGAGCTTGGAGTTGGATATGGAAAATCAGTCTGAGGAGGAGGAGAAGAAGAAGAAGAAGAAGAAGAAGAAGAATCTGAAGTGCATTTTGGGGTGAAGGAATGTGATTTGTGGAGAGTGTAGATGAGTG